ACTAAGTAGTATGGTTATGTACTCTACAGCCTCGTAACACTTCAGTGCAACCCCCTCTTTGCTGGTTATCCACCAAATCACCAGACTCAGAGAATCACCAGAGGGTATAATATAGCTCTTGAAAGGCATAGAATCTCTGTTGGACAAAGCAATGTAACCACAGGGTGGCCTGCATCACACATGAAACCAGGATGAAAAGATGAGGTTGTTCTGAGCAAGGTAGCAAGAGGTTTGAAGGTTGCGAAGACAGTTGCATGAGTCCTTCATGAGCTAGCAACCCTGGATCTGCACTTACATGGCAACATAGTTCTATCTGGGGCAAGCAAAGCAACAGGGTGCTTCAAACTGAAGGGAAAGGATTCTGACCCTAGAAACATAAACTAGGCACTCCAGTAGAGCAAGACAAGTGCTATGAAAAGATCACAATGACAGATCTGAACCTCCAGGTGGTGTGACAGTGGTCCTGGTCATGTTGAATTCTATGAGCAAGGATATAAAGAATGAGCAAGAACAATTAAGGAATACCCAAACTCAAGGGCAGTCATGAGACTTCAGCAAGACTATTAGTGGGATGAACAGCCTTTTTGTTCCTGAAACCTGTATGCAGATTATTGTTTCCTCATCAATAGCAAAGAGGAATTTCACTTTCAGCTACGTATCCTGATGTAGATTTCCTCATGTCCAAGAGCAATCTGCATGAAGATCAGTGGGGAGGTAAAGAGGCTTAATCCTTTCCATCTGCCCAGCGACCATGATTGTTTCACTGCTGTTAATGCCTGAGATCACTGGGGAGGCTTAATGGTCTGACTTTGGGAAATGAAGATACACCTCAAAGAGGTTGTGTGCTACTTGAATGAATCCTGAGGGACCCTAGTGCAAAGTCTATCTGGGATGGTAACTTGGTATTCAGGGAAACATTTGCATCTATCTGCAGTTCCATGGGGATAACTCCTTACAATTTAATGATAGAGAATACACATACGTAATTATGTAATAGCATCCGTTCTGCCATCTGCAGCTGTCTCATTCCTTGTGACCTTTAAACCTCTTGCTCTATTTCTCAGAAAAGCCTGGATTTTTTTAAGTTAAGGCTCCAGGATGATACAAGACAAAAATCCATGTATATCTAAAAGTCAAACATACAAGGACACAAAAATATAGGAAACACATCATATATGTAGTTGAACTTCTCCCACTGCTAGAGTTGTCTCAAGGAAATTCATAGTGATGGAGGGGAATACGCAATAGCGAGCACAGGGATCAAAATGTAAACCCCACTTCCCAGTTCAAATGGCCTTGGCCCATTTTAATTTGGACCCTGATTCAGCAGAGAACCCTTTGCAGCCTTTCCATAATGGGAACTTTCTCAATGTCTCAGGGAGATATTGCCAGGGAGATCCTTGGCCTCTCAATTTAATTAGAGAAAGAGAGTAGCATGCAAATCTAACATTTCCTGTCAGCAAAACTGGGCTTCCAAGTCCTTCCAATTTAAATTTCTGGTCTCTTGCTGTCTGTTATTCTCCCTACCACCCAATTTTTTATCATCATCATCACCATGACCACCACCACCACCACCACCACTGCCTCTATCCCTGCTTGGGGAAAAAGCCAGTGGAAGTTTACCCATTAGTACTCCTAGAGCTTAAAGGTTAGTGTGGAGACTGGTCAAAAGCTGTCAGTTATAATTCCATCTGTTTGAGGCATCTGGCAGGGATCTTTTACCACCTGTCCTCAATTTCTATATGGCAAAGGTTCAGTTTTTTTAAAAAAATACCATTCTTCCATCCAGCCATATGTGACAAAGTAAAGTTCCTGTATGATTATATGCAGATAACATACTTTTATGTGTAACCCACATTGGACTGAAATGACTGTGGAAACAATTTGGAACTTCTGAGACACAGCACACCTTACAATTAATTATAGAAAAATTAAAGCAATAGTTTTCGGCAAAGAGGTCAAGGAGACATACATGGAGAATGGATGGCCTGAATACTGAACAGCTTAAAAGCTTCAGATAACTTGAAACCATTATTTATTTCCTTCTGTCTTAATTTTTTTCCTGCAAGGAACTCCCCTTCTTCTCCATTTTATACTCACAACAACCCCTGGTTAAGCTGAGGGTCAGTAACTGTCCCAAAGTCACCCAGTGAGTTACATTGCTAAGTCAGGACTAGAACCCAGATCTCCTGACTCCTAATGCAGCACTCACCACTACACTGCACTGGTCCCCAAGCATTTTGTGTGTGTATGTATTTATAACTGAATTTATAATCTGCATTAACCAATAGTCCAGGAGGACTCTCTGGGCAGATATACAAAACTCAGGAAAATAACACAAACAACAACAATGAAAACAAAATGCAGCAACGTAACGATCAATTTCCATCATAAACACAAATGATAGCAGTAGATAATCAACATACAGCTGAAAATTTAACCTGAGAATTAAATCAGTGCAAAATAAAAATTTAAAAACTCCAACATTTCATTAATAAAATTAATAAATTATACAGAACTGCAATTATTAAAATATCTGGAAACTTGTTTTTGCCTGGCACTGAAAAGAATGTAAAGAAGGTGCCAGACCAGCTGCTGTAGGAAGCCTACTCCACCGATGGGGCACAGGCACAGGCACAGGCACAGGCACAGGCACAGCCACAGGCACAGCCACAGATTTGCCATCTTTGGAGGATGACTCTTTCAGAAGGGCCTCCGAATCCGATCTTAGGGGTTGGATAGGTACAGATGGGGGCATATTACATGATAGCATTTTAAAGTTGCACTCAATTTCTCAGTAAAGGGGGGGAATTGTGAAAAGTTATTGCACAAATCCTGTATGGTACAGGGATGTGAGGATGTGGTGATTTAAGTTTTTCAGAAATAATACAGAATGAATTGTTAAAAATTTATTGGTTATGCCTCAGGGCACCCCGACTGTAATGCTCTGAGCTGAAGCATTGCGTCTATTAAGGCTAGAATGCACAAGCAAGTTAAAATGTACTACTCAAGGTTGAAACAAATGTCTGATTACAGGCTACTAAAATTATGTTTTCGGGAACAAACACAGATTCAAAATGTTTGAAAGAGAGACTGAAATATTGTCTAAGGATTATGATCTTATATTTGAAACACTGGGGACAAGATTTTGGAGGGATCAAAAATTGATCAAGGATAGGGTGTTCAACAAAGACTTCAACTGACACATAGAAAATCTAGAAAACACCAGGTTTTTCTTTGTGGTATAGGCATGTAAAAGTAAATCATACTCTGCAGCATGCACCTGACAATGCATTTTCTTTAAGAAAGGCTTTTAACAAGCTGTATTTTCAAACTATTCCTACTGCTTGTCTGGAAGAAAGGTTCCTTGAAATTCCATGGGACCATCAACTCTGTGTCTGTGGGCAGCAGGAGGTGGAGGATATCTGTCATTATTTGCTGTACTGTATAGGGCACTGAGATATTTTTATTGCATTTATTCTTTTTCTTGTTTGGAGATGTCAGGGTTTAGCCAATTGGAACAAATACATTAAATACTTAGTTTCATTACATGCAATAGCTGCTTTTAAAATTATAAGGAATCATGCATAATTCTGTGTCCGTGTGTATGGTGTGTGTGTGTGTGTGTGTGTGTGAGAGAGAGAGAGAGAGGGAGACATGGCAATAGTTTGATTCTTTATTGTGGATTTGTTCCAGGGTCTCCTGATTTTTCTTCCCTGTTTTGTGATAGTCTTGATTTTAGACAAATGAAGACTGTGCCACTGAACTGCTCCTGATAGCAATGATGAATGTTCCTCACTCAAAAACTCAGGTACCAAAAACACTCGGGTTCCAACTCAAACAGAAATATTTCTAGAATATATGTAAGGCTGTTTGTACTGGGATAGGAATCCATTTTGCAAGGGGGATGAGGCGGGCAGCAAGCAGCATGGGAACCTCAGCTGTGCTATATTTGTCATTAATAGGCTCAGGAGTGACAAGGAAGCAGTACTGTCACTTTTCACTTGCCCTAACCGAGGCTCTCAGTCATACGTGTATGCCTAAAATGGAATGCCTAAAATTTAATCATTCTGGAGTGTGGCAAAGAAGAATGAATGTATTCTGCGCTTTGCCAAATAAACTTTTTGCGACAGGGCCAATTGGTCCAGCCATTCCTACTAATAAGGAACAAGAAGAGATGACCGTACTGCTCTTGCAGTTCGGAACGCAAGTCTCTTCTTCTTATGCAAAAGAAATTCTTAATAAGATAGATGCCACATGTTTAAGCAGCTAAAATCCCTTGACAGTGCAAGGAAGTATAGAATGTAACAATATTCCCCAACCTACAGTGTTGCAGTGTTGGACTACACCTCCAACCATCATCAGCCAACAGGCCAATGACCACTGCAATTCAACACATCTGAAAGGAGTCTAGGGGAAGGCTGGTATATACAATGAGAATGGAAGTCATGTATAAAATTAAACTGACAATGTTCTCCAGCTACATTTTAGTATCAGGAATAGCTGAATATGGCCAGATGCTTCACATCCTAACTCGAACATTTACTTTGGAATATATGCCTACAATGCTAGACTAATATCCATTCAACACTCATGTTGGTCCATGGCTTATGTCATTGCACAGGTATATGTCATCCTAAGCATTTTATTGATACTCTGATAACAACTAAATCAGAGCTGGGCAACTATGAGAGGCCCAGACACATTTTGCCACTCTCTTCTTGGACTCCCACCGCAGGCCACATGCCTAAGGTTGGTGGGATGCCAGAAGCAGGGGGGTGGCGGGGGGGGGGATCTACTGTTGATGGCTAGCTGGAAGGATGCTATAGGAGTTTGTAGGGGCTGCGCAAGGAAGATGGCAGGGTGCATGTAGCCTGCGGACCATACCCCTTTCCAATTGCTGTCTCATTGGTTAATGTGCCTATTACCTGAAATACTGCAAATATAGTAAACATTAAGAAAGCACATTGTTTCAGATTTCTTGGGATATGTGACATTACCTTTCTCTAAGAGATGAGCGGTTTAACACAGGAGTTGAATAATACTTCTCCAATGATGGGGGTGCCGAATGCATGAGCAAACGAGTTGAATGAAACTGCCCAGCAGCTATATTTGAGATCAAGTGTTCATCACAGCTGCCAGAAAAACCATCAAAGTTTTTCTTATAAGGTGACCCAGTAATCTGTCAGAAACACAAAAATGAAAGCATAAACTTTAAGGAAGATACATACTACATTTAATAACTGAGCTTTACCTGAGTGTAACTTTGGTGCAATGAAAAGAATCATCCTTCTTTTTGTATATAAGCAACATTGCAGCAGCAGAAATAGCAAAACTACTAAAGCATAGATTACAATTCTTTCCATCCTTAATGCCATCTCTTATGTCATCAGCATATCTGAAATTTCCTTTACAGATCTGAAACTCCTTGGGACTTCCTGATGGATGTTATATTTAATGCCTTCAATGTTAAGAGATAAGTTCTGACCGTATCTGAGTAAAATGTATAGGAAATAAGATACAATTAACTAATGATTACGTGTGATGAAAGTGAAATGGTAGTTCCTGCTTTCAAATTAAATCATTTTTGAAAGATTTAAGAAGTGGTAAGTTCAAAACAGGCTATTTCATTTGTTTATATTTTAAATATATCTCTTTCTCATGCCCAAAATACTTAAAATAGCTAAGTTCAGCCAATATTAAAATAATCAGTGTGGTGAGTTATAAAGGGTCAGAACTGAAGTGCAGAATGAAAGTTTTACAAAGCATTTTATCTCACAATGGATACCATATATTTACACTAAAAAGAGAAACATCTTGATTTTTGTCTGTGTCATACTTTCCCCTGTCTAAGTATGCATAGGGCCATGCATTTAGTAACTAATCATCACCACCACAGCTGCTCATTTACAAAAAGAACACTGGTTTATATCTACCTAGCATTAGTCCCTGCCCAAGATGTTTGTAACAATATTTTTCATGGGCATACCTGGGAAAGACCTCTGGAAAGCAGAAGTTGATAGTTCCTGGTAGCTGAAGTACCTGATTAAAGGGAGCAGTGGTCTGAAGGGGTTGATAGCTTCCTCTAACTTCCCCATGTTTCCATATTTTAACTTAGTAAAATATAAAAGATGTCATTAAAATACATGGGGGGGGGGGGACCACATATAAGATAGTTTCATTCACCCTCATCTGCCTTATCATGAACTCTTCTTTTCAGTACTTACTTTGGTATTCTTTGGTCTGTAACTGCCAAGAAGGGTAGGATCTAAAATAAAATAAAATAACTTTATAGCCAAGTATCAGGTATCAATCTCATAATGCTCACTTATAGAGCCACATTTCAAATAATTCCTAAAGCAGTTCATAAACTGAATACCATAATTACTACTGCATTGCTTTCAATTGCAACCACTGAGACCAGTAATGTTTGATTGCTACACAGTGTTAATGGTAACCAAGCACACAAACTAATACTTAGCTAGCAATATAATTTACAGTTCATGACATTATGGTTCAAATTAAAGTAGCAATTTCTGGATCTGTGACTATATCTGTTACACAAAATAGCTTTCAGATAAAATGAGATTCTTCTGTTGAAACACTTCTGCAAATATTTTCTATTATCAAATAATTTTCTAGCAAGAGACAAAAAAATTGGGGAAGAGGAAGTAATATTCTCTTAGGCTCTGTCCTCTCCCTCTGAATTTTCCAGCCCAAACTTCTGGTTCTAACCTGTCCTGCAACCATCCAGTGCTCTCAGATGATGTAATTTCTGAGCACCATCCGCTATAGCGTGGCCATGCAATCAGATCTTTGACAGGAACAGGAGAGACTGGGAAGGGCAGCAGCACAGGTGAATCCTCTCCACACAATTTCATTATCCAAATGCTAGCTTCTGGATGGAAATAAACCAACCCCAGTTCTAGCAATCACAGATAACTTTATTTGTAAACATGCATTAGTAGTATTTATGCATATTTCTGCCCCACCTTCAGATCAAAATGCCAATGCCTAAAAGGTGCTTAAAGCTTTATAACTACATATACAAAAATGTATTTTAAGAAGTAATTTGTAATTATTTCTTTAACATAGTACAGAGATAAAGAGATACATTCACAAACCTTCATTACTCTACAATATAAGACAAAATTCTAGGCTAGCTTTTTACTGTAAGATATATAAAATAATTGGAGTATTAAGGTGTAATCCTGCGCATGTTTTGTTGGGGAAAAAAATTGTACAACTACAAGCAACCCTTGCCAGCCATGGACAAAATTACATTCTAAACACGCATAAGATTGTACCCTTAGAATGTAACTTTTTGATGACTTTTTCAAATTATTGTTAGGATCATAGAAGCCACTGAAAAATGGATCTTTCCTATACCACTAGTTAATACTGGATGCCTATGGTTATCTGGAGAGCAATGCTAACACAGAAAGGGGTACCTCCTGTGTGACTTTGAGTTTGTGACCTAAGAAGCCATCCTGAAGCCATCCTCTTCCTTGCCACTGAAGAGTTATAAAGCAAAGATTCTGGGATGCTTTGAAAGTGAAAATATTATATACCAGAGTCCAAGTCACTCCACAAACATGGATATAGAAATGTTGTCTTATATGGAAAATTTCTTTTTTTCAAGCAGAACAGATCACTGGGGGAAATTTTATTTCACCCTAGGATCTATAAAGAAAAATATCCTTGCATCTGACGCAATACCCAGGGACTACTGAAGTTCTTAAAAATAACTGAGACTTTGTTTTTTGACTGATCCCTGAATCCTATGAGGAAAAAAAGTCCACATTATACACAAATGCTAAAAGCGTCAAAAGAATTTTTCTAAGTATTATATTGCCTTAATTGCACTACTGTATAAAAGTAGAACTGCTTCCAACACAGCTTTCCTCTTACAGGTTCTAACTCTAATCCATGGATTACTGGAAGCAACAGAGCAGATAATCCAAGGGGTGTAAATGGGAAATAAGAGATCATAAGCTCAGTGAGACTTCCTGAAAGCACAGCCAGCAGCACAGGCTGATTTTATAGGAAAACAGAGTTCTGGTTTTTTGTATCGAATAAGAGAAACAAGAAAGAATTTCTAGGCTGTAAGAAGCAGGATAAAAGGACTACAGAGGTCCCCATCCAAAAACCTGGCACTGGTCAAAAGAAAATATACAAGCAGTTGTTTGTTCCTGTAAAAGATTAAGTACACTGAAGAATAAGCCAGGCAATTGAAATGTTTATATATGTGTGCCCAGTTACTAAGAATATAAGAAACCAGATACTGTATTTTTAAACCAGAAGTGTTAATGAACTAGGTGAAGCAGAGACATAGTGCAGCCAATTATAGTAATCATGCAGTGTAAAGCATATTCAAGCTTGCATTTAAAATAACACATTTTTAATATTAAGAAAATACTTGTCATAGATGGTTCCACCTTTCATATTCTCCTGTGGGCGACACCAAGTACGAACATCAGGTGAGGGAGGCATCTGTTCAGGCTGGAAATTAAATCATTTAAATGTATTATGTATCCTAATCCAGTTTGGCTGTACACAAAAATATTTGCTGCAGCCTTCCCCAACATGGTGTTCTTCAGATGTTTTGAATCACAAATTCCATCAGTCCTAACCATTGTCTATGTTGACTGGTACTGATGAGAACTATAATGCCCTTTAGATATTTTGGATAACATTGAGGAAGGCTGTATTACTGTTACGTCCACAAGCCTTGGCTTCACACATACCCCTTCTTCTTCTGTATTACCATAAGAAAAGCTGAAGCTTTTTCTTAAAAATTCAGTAAGAATATTTGAGCATTGTGCCCAAATTCTAAAATGTGATTAACAAGTGTTTTACTGGAAATGAGCTAGCTTCCTGAAGAATGGTTGAAGCTGACCTGCATCTGTCAACCTGAGGTTGACAACACAGTGTCCTGTCCATATACACCACATATCCCTGTCAGCACTCCCCTCTCAATTTTTTAAAAATCTGCTTTCTATTTTGATGACCAGGAAGCGTAAGAATTCTGGGCTTCAGCTTCCCTACCCTCCCCTCTTTTGCCTTGTTCAGAATGCCTCTGGGTTCAGAATATCCTCCAGAGAAAAAGGGGATGGAAAGCTGGGGGCTGCCTTCCAGCCAACCAGGCCAAACTAAAATGAAAAGGAAAACAATACTGCTGCTGGGTAAACCTGGAAGATATGGTGCATGGGGGGTGGGGGAGAGATAGAAACTAGATTCAGGTGGGTGGCATGATCTAGCAGGTAAGAAGGAAAAGCAACAAGATGGTTGGGAAAACCATGCAGTGGAGTACAAAGGAAAATCTGTGAAATCTGAGTGAAGTAAATTGTGTGCGTTGTGTGCGTAACACTGTCAAATATCCAAATGTATTCATGGGCACCAAAAGCTTAGATACCCCTGCTGTAAGCCATAGTACAACATAATGCTTAACTGGCGTTAGAAATGGAAGCAAAAGCTTCACCAAGACTTATTCTTGACATCACAAGCTATTACATTCCAGCAAGGCCACTTTGAAGTGTGTGTTTCTTGAAAGTATTACGATCTGAACATGACATGGATGATAAGAAACTGTTGGACATCCACTGGATACACCTTCAAACTTCCACGTGCATTTCTGGCCATTCATGCCATGCTACTTGCCATCAAGTTATGCTGTCAGGCGATTCCCCAGGAAATATATATTTCAATTTACCGTGATTTACAACAGTATCTTAATCCCTCATAATGCTGAATTCTGTTTAAATCTTATTAAATCCTGCAATAAAAGTTAATATCAAGCAGCATTTATATAGACAGCAAAACGTCCAGTTAATCAGATAAAAGAAGAAAGCAGACGCAGACACCTGAAGAATGTAAACATGGTTTTAAGAAATAACTGCTTGTCAATTGTTAGCATTGACAAAAGAACTTGCATTCCACATAATTGTCTCATTTATATTATATGTATGGAACAGAAGGGTTAGTCACAAAGAGGAAGAACCAAAAGGGTTTTTTTAAAAGTAAGTCTTGATCCAAGCTTAAACAGGGATTGCTGAAGAGTATACATACATGTCGAATTACAAATGGTGGTCTATCTGTTTCTTTTCTGAAATCAAAAGGCCCTAGGTCTAAATGGGCAAGGCGCTGCCTGACTTGGCGGAGCTGGCACATTCGCCTTTTTGTGTAAGGAGATGGAGATCGGGAAAGAGAAGCTATTGTGGGCTGTTCGTAGTGTTTCGTTGCTAAGCAGTGCCTGTCTCTTTCAGGTGAGGAAGTGATCTTTCTTGGCCACTTCGTCTGTGGTGTTCTATCTGCAGTTGAATGATGCTGGCAATCTAAGTTGTCCTGAATTGAACAAAGAAAATTATAAATGTTAAAGAAATTCAGAGAGTGTATTTCAGTTCTGACAGAGCATCCAACAATTTTCCTGCTTTAAACAGTTAGTCTCCAGAACAGACTCTAAATTTTTAAGAGTGTGCATACAATTTATTTATTATATTTCTATTTCTATACTGATACTATACTGATTTCCAGTAGATATACTCACTTCCACACACTCTTCCACTCCCAGAGTTCAGACATTTCTTCCCTGTCTATCCATTTTTTTAACCCAGTCTTTTGGTTTAGCTACTCCGCAAATATACTGAAACTTAAGCTGCCAATACATTTCCCACTGCTTGCTCCTCTGCCACAAGCATCTGAATAATGAATACCACAAAAGTTCCTTTCATCATAGCACCCAGTACTACACATTGTGGCAGTGAAGGGGGGGGGGGAGATTACCCAAGCAGCAATATTTGGCCTTGTTTAAACCTTCAAACTCTCATAAAACTATTTACATTTATGGTACTCTAAGATATCTATTGTATATTATATTATAATTATACCTATAAAATATTACTTGACAACTGTTCACTTCCAAATATGACCTTTTTCTTCTTCTTTTTGCTAAACTTGATTAAAAATTTAGATCAGATTTCCAAGCAACTTTCATAAGAGGACTTTCACACAAAGAAACAATTCAACAGAAGCATAAATCAAGCTATCATTATTCAATCTAGAAATTAAATTTCAAACAATTAAGTTATGCTAACCTGCTTTTGAGCTTTTTCTGAACTTAACAGGCTTTCAGAAATAAGACAAGTTGTGTTAAACTTCAATTTTGGTGCAATTCCCTAGAACAGAGACAATAATTGAACATCAAGCTCCAACTGGAGAGATAAAGAGTATCAAAGAAGTAAATGTCACCTACTGCAACAAACCATTCCTAATTTTAACAGTTTCCTTTGTTAATTTCAGCCTTTAATAAAGATAATTAGAAAAGACAGAACAGCAATGGTAAATGTCAAGAAGATAACATTTGCATTTCTGACAATTCAATTACTGATGATTATATTGCTTTTGTACAACAATTAAGGTCTAGCGTTTATTTCAACACACTGCTTTGTCAAAAACATTTTTAAAGGTTTTTCATGGCATGTTACATACCATTAATTAAAAGTCAAGTCATGCCATTCAA